CACACAATTGTGTGTCATAAATCTATGACACACATTTATGACACACATTTATGATGCTCATTGCGCGTCATTGAAGCCCCCATCATAAATGAAGATGACACACTTTTGTGTGTCATAAATTTATGACACGCATGTATGGCTTACATTGCGTGTCATTGAAGCCCCCATCATAAATGAAAATGACACACATTTGTATGACTTACATTCGTGTGTCGTGATTGTATTTCGTAAATTATATATATATATATATATATTGTAGATTGACAAATAATCAAACTAAATCACATTTAATGCCTCATAATACTAAATATATATACCATATTATATATTATAGGCAATCCATTTGTATACAATACATTCACACTACAAACAATTTACAATAAATGATTAGTCAAAGAAAACAAAGAAAATATGACATTGAGAAAGAACATATAACCATTATTATAAGTTAATAAACAAACATTGAAAATTACAAATCTCCTTAAATGAATTCAACAATAGTCCTAGTTCACATAAAATTAGTTACTGCTCCCTGCTCAGATTAGCCATGAGCTGTACTATCTATGTTGTACAAAGAAGAAATGAAACCAAAGCCTATGACTCTCCACCAAGTGCATCTAATGTCTAGGTAAGTAGCACTGACTTTACCTTGCAACAGATGCATTGTCATCACTCAACTGTCCCTACTGGTCACCCTCCTCTTCACCCTTCATAGTTCGTATCACAAATTGTTTGGCTTTGCGCCGTTGATTGTTAAGAGGCCCCTAACGGAAGTAACAAATCCATCACCGACGCCATCAGCTGAACGCTTAGGAAAGGCTCTTTTCTGATCAGAAGCTTGCTCATTGTCAAGGAGATGGAATTCACCATCAAGAGCAGCAGTTGTAGTTGGCTGTTGACTGTGTCCCTTGTCTTTGAATTTCTTAACCTACCAAAATGTCAAATAATTAAAATGAATATAAGTTCGGCACATGTAAATTCAATTTTTTTATAAGTTTCTTCAAATAATCCCACACACATCTAATATGTGATGGTAGTGGATGCTTTAAGAAAATGAAGAAACCAAATAACTATTATCATAGTTTATTGTAAAATTAAACATTAGAAATTTCCATGTCCTAATCCAACAAATAGGAGGGAAACAAGATTGTTACGTTCTAAGTAAGAGAAGATTCATAATATGGAGATTTTAAGGTCGGTTTACAGGAGTATCATTAAGATCCCTTACAGACTTCAGGACTCCCTTACCTCCCTCAGATTCCTTTAATGCTTGGCTGACTGTTGCAGTAACATCCATGCTTTTCTTTGCCTTTCTTGCACCAGCTATTGTTGAGACCTTCCAAACTTCATGCATTTCCCAGGTTCCAACCATAAAGAACATCACCAATTGTAGTGTCTAGGTAAGTTAGTTGCATGTCAGTCATACCTTGAAAACACGGACAAGGAAAAATGCAACGATTTCGGAGAATGCCATGTGAATCATTGTCAACGTCATAGGAAACGTGAAATTGAAGTACTTGGGAGACAACACCCACTGCAACCTCTTGAGAAGTGAATTAATAAAGCTTGATCAGTTATGGACTTTTGTTGCATGATATTGTAAAGGGAGAATCATCTATTACAGGAATGTTATCCTGAAGCTATTTGTTCATTTTGCTCTTTATCAAGAAATATCTATCAAGAGATGGAGAGAGAAGGTTAATCTTTACCTGATTTCCCCCTTCTTGAAGAGCGGCAACCTCTTGAGAAGTGGATTTAGCCATAGATACTGATTTAACTCTGTGTGTGAACTCCCGACTGGAAACAATTAAAATCGGTAGCTAGTTTAGAAAATTTATTGACGTCTGACTATCATCAAATGCATTCTCTTAGATATAAGCTAATCAGCAGCCGATATGTCAAGAAAACTCAACTTGCCAACCAAATTGAACAGTTACTGTATTCCACTGCAGGTGGTGCAAACAAATGTCCAGAAACTTGTGCAAACATATTGAGGCCCTTGTTCAGTTGACAATTAGCAAATAGAAACAATATGACAAAGAAAGTATAAGCACTCCAAAATCTACGCATACAAATAAAAATCACATTTAGTTTAACATAAGGAAAATGTTGCAAAACCATATTTCAACAACAAAATCACCAGAAGAAAAAACTCAAGAGGATATTCAAACAAATATTTATGGAACAAATAGAACTTCTCAAAAGGTTTAATAGTAAAGATTCCAAAAATATGAAAACTTTAACCAAGTTTTCTGTTTATGAAAAACTGATTAAGTAGTCAAACACATACATCTATCCCTCCAAATCTTAGCAGCCGCTTATTTCCATTTTTTTAAAAAAAATTAAAGGTTACTCTTCCATTAATGCAGGATATAAATAGAGTATCAATATATACCATTAAAAATGGACCACAAGCATTATTTCCCCAACATCACTGCCGCAAATGAGCAATCAATTCAAAGTCTATGTATATCAGCAAGCACATCTATAACTAAAACTGAACCATTATTTAATGAACAATTCCCAGAGTTATATTCCATCAACCTATACTAGGATACAACAGCACACTTATCAAGTCCACAATCATGAGATCAAAACATAAACAAGAAAACCATACCAAACTGTTGCAGTTAATACATCTACAATTCTCCGGTTGTTTGAGAAGACCCCGAATTATTCGCTCATTCTTCTCATCTTCCTTCACTCGACTCGCCATCGCCGTTTACTATATGAAAATAAGCAAAAGGCAAAATCAAAAATCAACAAAAAAGAAAAACGGAAAGTATATAATTTTCTCCAAATCATCATTAATCACAAGCAGACAAAAAAATCCCAATCCAATTAACTCCAAATTTGCTTATTCGACTATATTTTCAAAAAAATCGATTAAAAAATAGCTTCACTACACTGCAAAGCAAAAATGAAGCAATCTAAACTACAAATCATCATTTCTTGTATAAGATCTAAACTAGATCCTCCAAACGATGAAGCAATATAGATAACCTCACAAAGGGCCATTATCACAGCCCATCATCAAATCTTGAAACTAGTAAAACTCACAACCCATATATGATTCTCTAATCCTCAAGCAATTTTATAGTTAACGAATCAGACGAATGATTGTATTCCTTCTTTCTAACAGTTCATCAACTTGCAACTAGAAACCTTCAGTTAGAAACCTTTGCAGTGTACCATCGCGACCGCAACTGTGAGATCTAATAGTCAGAAAGAAATAGAAAAATGAAATCATATATATAAATATAGATAATATATATATATATATATATATATATATATATATTATATATATCTATATCTAGAAAAACAAATACTATGGAGACAAAGTAGCTAACCATCAGAGTCTCCAATATGATTGCCATTCACAAACACTTGTGGAACAGTGCTTCGACCTATCAAATCCAGAAGGACATACTGGATTTTACCTCTATCGTCTAAAACAAAAACTCAACAAGTCAACACTTCATCTAAATTACTCTTTTTCTACTCTCTCTCACACACATACAATAAACGAATTAGAAGCAGATGAATAATATCCACACAGATACCTCAGAGATCAAGCTCTACAACATAAGGTTTCTCATTTAGCTCACTGAAAATCCGCTTGGCATGAAGGCAATACCTACGAACAAGACAAAAGCGAAAGAATTAAAAGCAGCCCATCATATTATCTAATCACAAAACCCCAAAGAATTGAAGTTTCAATTATACTTTTGAAGAAATACCCATGAAGTTAAAAAGTCGAAATAAGATTGATTACGCTATCCTGATTCTAAATCATGAACATTGAAAGGTTGAAACGAAATTGTAAATGTAAAAGAAATGGAGAAAAATGGCATACGGGCAATGGGATTTAGAGAACATAACGATCTTGTTGGAGAAGATGGCATTTTGGAGATAGGGAAAAATGGAAAAAGAGAAAAAGGGGAAGAAACGGCGTGAACTGATAATTATCGAGGGGGAAGAAGCGGGAAAGGATGAAAATAATCGGGAAAAATTAGAATACGACTTCTAAAGATGACACACAATTAAAAGTGTACTCCGTGTTTTTGTAAATTTTTTGGATTATGACTATTAAATATGACACACATTATTGTAAGTCATAAATCGTTCAGAATTTAAAAAATAGACATTTTTATGACACACATGTTTTGCAAGTCATAAATTAGCGTGTGTCATTAAAGGTATATTTTCTTGTAGTGTATATTCGCCAAGGTGGAGATTTATTAAGTATGACTCATAAATATACCGGTAAAGAGGACAGACGATGGAGCGAGTGAGCGTGTGACAGGTTCATTTTTGTAAATATGTACCATGGTTTACTTATTATAAAGGAGATGTAACCAAAACCTATAAGATATTGAATGACAAATCTAGCACCGCCCAAGACACCGAGGGTGTAAGCACATTGTTGAACCTCGTTAAAATTTTTGTGTTCTTTTCGTTTTCTTTACCTGATTATTCAACATCAAGAATGATAGTGTTTCTAAACCTTTCACGAACAAGACGATTTCCATTCATTTTAATGATTCAAATTACCTTCAGGCAGGGTTTTAAAAAACGGTCCGTAACCGCAATTTCGGTCGTGATATAGCGGTTTCGCCGCCGTCCGATTTACCTGCGAAGGCCGTAATAGCGCCCGCGACCACCACAATCACGATAAATCCAAATAATCGAAAACGCGACCGCGATTTGAAACTACCTCCAGGAAATAGCAAATGCTATTTGCAATTGAAAGCTTAGCTCTATTCAACCATGTTGACGGAACTCTTCCAATTCCTCTACAGTACATTGTTGAAGGAGGGGTCAAGATTGTCGATGGCGATTATGTTTCGTACAAACATCAAGATAGTGCTTTGTGTTCTTGGTTGCTTTCGTCTGTTGGTTCTTCAATTTTTCTGTCGCTTGTGGGATGTAAAACAACGTTGGAAATTTGGGAGAAGATCCACTAGTTGTTCTCTGGTTCTTCGACTACAAAAATCATGTATCTTCGTTGTTCTTTAAAGAATCTTCGCAAACGTGATCAGAGCATGAAGGAGTATCTTGTTCAAAATCAAGCTATTTGTGATAGTCTTGCTGCTTGTGGTAATCCCTTGACAAAAACGGTTGACATTTCTGCTATCTTATATGGCCTACGGCCAAAATATGAGCATGTGGTGGTCGTCATTGCCTCGAGTCAACTGCCATATAATCTACATGGTGTTTGCAGTGTTCTTCTTGACATAGAGGCAAGGCAGTTGGATATTCCGACTTAAAATTCGGTTAATATGGTTCAAGGTCCAAAGCTTAATGGGTCTTTTATTAGACAAAGTCCGTGTGTGGATCCAGTAGGGCAAGTGTACTATGAAATTTTTATCCTTATTCTAGTTCTTTGCAAAGCGGCGCGTATGGGGTTTCTGGTTTCCACGATGGTGTTCACGATGTCTACGGAGTCTATGCCAATTCTAATGGTTATGGAGTATTGACCGGTGGTTCTATTTGCTGTGGGGCTTCGGTTGGTATTTCTAAACCTCTTCTGAGTCATGTGTTTTCGTAAAAGGCGCATGGTCAAGGGTTTCGTCCTCAGGGAAATTTTCTGACGTACTAGGCTAATCGAGGATATTTTAGGGGTTGTGGAGGTCGCAACATGTTCGACTGTGTGTTCAGTGTCAGATCTGTGGAAAACTGGGTCATTTAGCTAATCGATATTATTTTCGTTCGGGTTGTCTAGTAAATTCTGAATCACAGGATGATAATGTTGTCACGATTGCTGGTGGCTTTAGAGCTTGGGGGTATGGAGATACGGCCTTGTATCCTGATTCCGGTGCTACGACTCATCTGAATCCTGATGGTGTTAAGGTTATTCACTTTGTTCCATATTTTGGTCCGGGTAAGGTTTCGGTTGCCAATGGCATGGTTTTCCAATCTCAGAGGTTGGGCAAGCAGTGCTTCCTGTGCAATCCAGGTCTTTAGCTTTAAATAACTTGTTGCATGTTCCTTCAATTAAGAAAAATTTATTGTCTGTTTCTAGATTTACCAAGGATAACAATGTCTCCATAGAATTTTATCCAAACTTTTATGTTGTGAAGGACTAAGAGACTTAGCAAGTGATCCTGCGCGGTTCGGAAAATGATGGTTTGTATACGTTGCCCTCTGTTGCTGATGTGAAACTGACTAGTTTAAAGGGTGATGAAAATGTTCATGATTACTTGGTTGCTGGATGTTCCAAGCCTGATAAGGCGACCATTAAGGGTTCTTTACAGTCTGTTAGTAATGTTACTTTTGATGAGTCTATGGTTTCTTCACATACTGTTTGTGATGATTCTGATTCTGTTGATTCTTGTCTTGTGAATTTGCATAGTTCTAGTTTGAACACTCATGATGTTTGTAATATTGTAACTAGTGATGTTGAGCTTTGGCATTGTAGGTTGGGACATCCGTCCACTGTTGTTTTAGCTCAATTTCTTAGGCAATGTAATGTTTCTGTTGATAATAAAATGGTATTTTGTGAGGCTTGTCAGTTATGAAAGAGCATAAGTTACCCTTTCAAAAATCTGTCTACTTATAATGAGCCTTTGCAGTTAGTTCAAATGGACTTGTGGGTCCTGCAACTTTAGTTTCCAACAATTCTTGTTATTATCTTAGTTTTCTTGATGCTTGCACAAGGTTTACTTGGATTTATTTCTTGACTAGAAAACCGGATAATGTAACTTCATTTCATGTGATGGTTGAGAGGCAATTTAATTGTAAGTTAAAGGTTACTCAATCTGATTGCGGTACTGAGTTTCAATCTTTAGGTGCTTATTTTAGTCATCATGGTGTTATTTTTCAACGCTCTCGACCACATACGTCTGAACAAAATGGCATGGTGGAGAGGAAACATCGCCATGTTGTTGAGCTGGGTTTTACTCTGATAGCTCAATTTTATAGTCCTTTTAATTATTGGTCTGATGCATTTCATACAGTTGTTTTTCTTATAAACATCCAAAGAAAATTCTGAATGGTTTAACTCCATATGAAAATTTATTTGGAAAAAAAAACTGACTTTAATATTTTACGAGTTTTTAGCTGTCAGTGTTTCCCTCTTGTTCGACCTTATAATCATCACAAGCTTCAGTTTAGATCCAAGACATGCGTGTTCTTGGGTTACTGTGCCACATAACGAGGTTACAAGTGTCTCAGCAAAGATGGTAAGGTATATGTTTCTCAACACGTTCAGTTTAATGAGTCTAAGTTTCCTTTTGTAGAGGATACACTGTCGGTATCAGTTGCTGATCAGAGAATTGCTGCAAAGTTTGTTTATCCCAAACTTGGTGAGCAGAATGGTCAAAATTGCTTTGGAGCTTGAAGTCCTACTGCTTCTGTTGGTGATCTAAGAACCGATGTTTCAATCAGTCCAGCTGAGCCTGCAGGTTCAATTGTCGCTGCTTCATCTCAGGTTCCTCATAGTGTTGGATCACAAGGATGCTCTGGTTTTGCTAATCAGCGTGCAAGGAGTTCTGATAGTGAAGCTCAGGATACTACTAATTCTGAGACTAATATACACATGTCTTCTGCTCATGGTGTGTCAGCTGCTCAGTAGTTTGTTCTTGTAAGTGACATTGTTGGAAGAGTTGATGCTTCTTCTGTTGTTTGGTCATTCCAATAGTGGCTGTACTGCTGGTTCTGATGACAGTCCTGGTGAAGTTCAATCTAAGAAGTCAAAAACGTTAAATTCTCATCCGATGGTTACTCAATCCAGGGCTGGGGTTTTCAAACCTAAAGCTTTTCTAGCTGAAGCCACATCTTTAGAGTCTTCAATGGTTCCGTCTTTGGAGCCTACAAATGTTCATCAAGCTATGAAGTATAGTGTGTGGAGAGAAGCAGTGGAAAAAGAACTTACTGCTCTTAGTGAGAAAGATACTTGTGAACTGGTTATGTTACCTCCTGATAGAGTTCTAGTTGGCTTCAAAAGGCTGTTTAAAATCAAGAAAAACTCTGACGGCAATTTTGCTCGTTACAAAGCTCATCTAGTTGCTAAGGGTTATTCCCAATAAGCATGCTTGGATTACAAGGAAACGTACAGCCCGGTTATATTGATTTTGTCACCGAGGAGATCAACTCTAAGTTTTCGTTAAAGGACAGGAAAGCTTAACTTCTTTCTTGGGATGACTGTGCAACTTGTGGAGCATGGAATAATTCTGGGTAAAAAAGCATGTCGTAGATCTTTTGGAGAAATCAATAATGTTGGACTCAACATCGACACCCATGCCTATGGTTACTTAGCCACTTCTTTCTGCTGAAGATGGAGATCCGTATCTGGATGCAACCTTGTACAGGCAAGTTATACGGAATTTGCACCATGTTTGTACTACTAGACCAGATATACAATTGTTGTTAATAAAGTAAACCAGTTTATGCAATCTCCGAGTGATAAGCATTGGAAAGCTGTGAAGGAATTGTTAGGTATCTTAAGGGAACTATGGATCACAACTTATTTTTCAGTACAAGCGCAGCTATTACAACTCTAGTGGGGTTTTCTAACTCTGATTGGGCTACAAATTCTGATGATATGAGGTCCACAGTTGTCAATGTGTGTTCTTAGGGGGAAATATAAGTGCATGGAGTTCGAAGAAACAAAGGGTGGTATCTCGTTCTTCCACAGAAGCTGAGTTTCGTAGTTTGGCTAATGCTGAGTGTGAAGCGATATGGGTTAAGTCTTTATTAGCTGAACTAGGTGTTCATCTTACATCTACACCTGTTATTTGGTGCGATAATACTAGCGTGATTGCTCATTCGGCCAACCCGGTGCATCATGCCAAACTCAAACACGTTGAACCTGACTTGTGTTTTGTAAGGGAAAAAGTTATGGACGGTTCTTTTCATGTCAACTATGTTCCAGCAGTTGATCAAGTTGCCGATGTTCTAACCAAACCCTTGTCTGCTCCGTTTTTCGTCCGTCTCAGGAACAGCTTCGTGTAGTTTCTGCCGAGGAGCTAAGGTTACAAACTGTTAATAATGTTTTTCTTCATCAGCAATGTGAAGAAGTATAGTTTGAAAAGATTAGAAGAGGAAGGAAAGTAGGAAGTTTGTTAGGAGTATATTGAGCTGTGTAAAGCTAGTTATGTTAAGGGTAGTTAAGGTTGCTATAAAGGTAGTTTAATAAGTTTATGTTACTCTGTTATAGAGACGGCTATGGTGCAAAGGTGTATATAAACTCTTATGTTCTCATTAATGAAGCAAGTTGATTCTGAGGTATTTTTCTGTATCATTTAGTTAATTTTATATTTGTCGTTATTGTTATTAAAATATTTTAATAAAAATATTTGTTTATTTTTATAAAGTAAAAATATTTCTTATCTATTTGCTATGTAAATTGAATAAAAACATTTTTTTTATTTGTATTGCATTTACGAGAACTCAAATCAAACTTTAGTTAAGCTAGGTTCCAGTTGACTACATTTACGTATAGAAATATAGTATTAAACGTATTTGCAATTCATTGAACCGGCTCAGTCCTTTTCACAGCTTAGATACGACTGATAAGTTAGTGGCGTCTATGGAATTAACAAAAACAAGTTGAAGTAGGAGCTCTAGTCGCAGACGGAACGCCGGATAAAATATCGTTTTCTTTATTAAATTAAAAAACAAGTAAAAACTCAAAGTTAAAGATTTTAATCATTTTCTTCATCAAATTTAATTTTTGTGAATTGTTATAATAAAATAACAAAAATATACTAATTTATTGTTAATTCTTGTATTAAAATATGAGGACAAAATCATCTATCATATTAAAATTCTTAATTTAATAATAATCTTCGTATATTTTAACCATATTTAATAAAATATCAAGGAAATTGACTAAGAGGAGGTGAATTGACAATGAAAATTTGTTGGAAGCTTTTGCAAGAAATAAGAAAATGACAAAGATTCTAGAGTGGTCCAACTTCCTTAATGAAATCTACATCCACTACCTTAGCTTCCTAAGTAAGGATTTCAACAAATTCATAATTTGTTCTAACATTTTAGGACAATATGTGACCTTACAAAATATTAAGACTTATACCGCAAAACCTTAAGTGCACAACACTTCCTAAGAAGAAATTACAAATGAACAAACTTTGAATATCCCTACAAAGATTGATTGTTTGCTAATTGAAGCTCACACACACACCCAAGAACACTAGAATAAAAATTACAATTAATGGAATAGTGTTCAGTGAAATAAAGACACATTCGAATACAAATTTGGCTCTATAAAGACACTGTTGAATACAAATTTGACTCTATTTGCTTGTTGGAATAGCTTTCTTGTCTCTTTTTAACTGTTTGAAGACCCCTTTTATGTGTTTTCATTGATTTCTAGTTGTTTGAGGTTGTTGAAGGGAGTTTGGAGTCGTTTGAAGCATTAAATTCGAGCATTAAAGGCTACATGCCCAGGAAGTTTCGAAAATCTATGAAAGAGGAAATAAAATTTTGTACCGTTGGAACCCAAAGTTTCAAAACTCTTGGTCAAAGCTTGTTTAAAATAATAATTTTTGATATTTTGAGAAAATTTAAGTTTGAAGATTGAACAAATTTTAGGGACTTAAAATTAATTCTAAAAAAACTAATATATATATATATATATATATATCAAAATCATTTATGTTTATCAATCTCCCTTTTTTATATAACAAAACATTTTTATAAAACTTTTCTTGATTCAAAACTTGTCATAATTTTGTCAAATTATATATCATTCAAAACAATGAATTTTCATTTAACACCCCTTTCAAAAGAAATTAAGGTTATAAAATTTTTAATTAAAAAATTATATCAAAAACAAAAATTTAATCAAAAATGTTTTTCATATTTCCCTCCTTTTAGTTATATCAAAAGCATTTAGCTACAAAAGAGAAAAGAAGATTAGAGCTTAATAAGCCAAGATAATAATCTAACATATTAATCCAAAAATATCCAAAATAAATATCCAACATAGATATCCATAATAATGTCATAGGAAAAGCATATGCAGAAAAAATAATCAAAACAACCAAAATACGAAATCTTAAAAATCCAAATGCAATAATATTTGAAAACAGACAAAGATCCTAAATATATCATGAAATGCTAAATAAAAGGATGATCAATCCTCATCATCATCCATATGAGAAGACTGGAAGAAGGACAAGGATTCGGGAAATGAGCCTCCAAAGCACAAAGACAAGAATCCATGGCATCGAAACAATGAAAGAAATCATCAAATCTATTGGCCATGTAGTCATAAAATGACTCGAAAGTATTGGAGAACATGGAGGATGAGCAACAACTCCATGATCAACATGCGCGTGACTTAAATGAAATGTTAATTTATTAAAAATGTTTTAAATTTAAGAAATTGGGTCTACAAATTATATCAAATAATTAATAAAATTCTGAATCGATATTATCTTATAATCACATCATACTATAAAAAAGTTTTAATTTCAAATTCAGGTGAGGTTATACCATTGTATCATACTATTTTGATTAATATATGAATAATTAGTATTGTTAATGTTATAATAATATTAAATTATAAAACTAAATGTACTTACTTTTTCACTCAAATTAATTAATATTATTTGAGAAAACTAAAGACATAGTTATTATAAAAAATGTTACATAAAAACAATTAACTTTTTCGAAAAAGTTAAGAGTTGACAGTTCATTTCGTTGTAATGCGGTGGTCAAATTGATGGGTTGTTCCCTTATGAACATATACTTGTCTAATGCAGCTTGTTCCCTTATAAACTTATACTTGTCTAATTTTAAAATGTTTTCCTTTCTTTAAATGAAAAACATGTTCCATATGACCATGATAATGGCAATGTGAGTATTTTTGCCATTAGGAAACTAGATGGATTATTTAAAATAATTTCTTTTTCTTTTGTTAAGCATTCAAGGTTAACTTAAATCAAAACTTTCTTTTTTAAAATTTTCAATTTTCATTTTTGAAAGCTCTAAATCATTTTTTCAAAATTTTATTTTGATTTTCAAAGTCCATTTTTGCTTTCAAAAGAAAATCGTTTTCAACTTTAAATTTTGAAATCATTTTCTTGTGTTTGGAGTTTATGGTCTCAAACTCCAAACATTATTCATCATATGCATCTTGTAACTCATCAAAAGAATATTAATCGAATTCATTAGAGTTAGAAGATACCTTGCACTCTTCAAAAGCCATTAAGCACACCACATTTGTTGGTTCTTATTTCTTGTTTCCAAGGATCTTTTCGAGCTTATTCCAAAGCCTCTTGACATTTGAACAAGAAGAAACTCCTTCATAGACATCGGACCAAATGCACAAAACAACATGTGCATGGCCTTAGCATTTTGATGAAAACTTTGAATAAATTCAATTTAGTCCAAAAACATTTTGCCATTATTTGTTATATCAAAATATTAGTTCTACAAAGTACTAAAATGAAATAGAAACTAAACATTAGGTATAGTGTAACACCCCCAACCTGTACCCGACCCCGATACGAATATGAGGTGTCACATTGACTTTTCAAAACGTTTTTCCTTTACAAATTAGCTAAAAATTCAAATTTGCATTTCAAGAAAAATAAATATTTTTCATTAATTACAATAATATGATTTTACAAAACTGATCAGAGCGTATACAATTCAAATCTTTATTTATATGCCAACTACATTCCTTATAACAAAATACATACTATTCAAATATTTATGATAATCTCTGGAAAGGAGAAGCTGACCAGTCTTGCTCATCTTTGCTCCTTAATCTCATCGTAACCTACGTGTGTAACACTCACACGCTAAGTCATTGACTTAGTGAGGCATATAACACATATAATGTAAACTTTAACTCCTAACAATGGATGAACATTTAATACTAACATATCATACAAAATCATATACCATTTCATGTAACAAATACATACTTGCACATATATCATCATCTAAATTCTTAGTAATATCATATATTATTATCATTAATCCCTTTAATCCTATAATCTTGTCCTTAACACTCATACACATCATATAATACAATTTCACAAAGCAAACACATAACATCATATTTAGTTTATTTATGTTATCTCTTTTATTAGCCTATGATACACTTGTGAGAACTAAAGATATGTGAGTACATTGAGGTTGTGCACAAATGCTATCACCACAACTCGTATAAATTTCCACTAAGTGGCATATAAGATTGTCCCGAATGACCACGTAGAAATGTCCCGAATGACCACGTAGAAATGTCCCGAATGACCACATCAAATTCTCCTTAAGGACCACATATATATTCCAATGGACCAAATATGTGTCCCGAAGTACCGTATATATGTTCCAAAGGATTACATATATGTCCCGAAGGACCACATGGAACCCTTGACTCTTGGCATGCCAACTATACCCCTAGCTCTCATATCACATAAAATTGGCATTATCATTTATGATAGTTCATATCACTTATATCACATAGACATATTCACATGTACTTGTAATCACGTAGCTTATTTTTGCGTAGTTCATGTCACGTTTTCATACGATTTCATATTCATATGTCACAAAACTTATATCTTATTCTGATATTTTCTCATAGACATATAACCACATAGGTCCTCGTCACATAGCTTATATTTCATGTTCACATCATCACATAGTTTCATTATATCATTTAACATAATTGATCACTCCGACATACATTCACATAGCTCATGGAATACACATAGTATAACATGTAACACATACAATAACATATGACACATAAGAATCATATCAAGTGCATGCTTGTATTCATGGATTCATGTACCCTAATATGGAAAATAGACTCATCGCAAGTCTTATTTCCATAGAATATCATACACTTAATATTATGCACTCACTTGGCCTCACTAGTCCATTCAAACACATATAACTCTTGTAAACTCTTATAGCTTCGAATCGTCTTGGACTTGTCCTTGATTGTCATCTACATGAATATACGACTT